TTTTTTTGAAGTGTTTTTTTGTTTTGTTTTTTGTTTTGGTCTTGAGATGATTTTCTATGCCTATTGCTGTTTACGTTTTCCTCCTCTCTTTTTTTAAGTTTTTTTCCCCTTCATTCTTTGGCTGGATTTTCTCACTCGGTGTGTGTGTTGCATTGTGTATCTTTTCTTTTCTTTTCTTTTTTGTTTTTGTTTTATGGTTTAAACTTTAAAGCCCTTGTGTAAGCCCTCTATCCCGGCGGTGGTAAGAGAACCATCAGAATGGAGGGCTTCTCTGTTGGCCTGCTCCATCTATTGGTGGGGAGCGGCACCTGCTGGAAACCGGCCGGGTCCAGCGTCACATGAATACATCTTGTAACACAGAGATTGCTGTTTGATGTTTCTTGGGGCTGTGGTCTTATCTCTTGTCAGTGCGGGGCTCCGTTTTCCCTTCTTGAAAAAACGTAGCCCCGCACTGACAAGAGATAAAGGGTGCTCCAAGAAGGGATGCTCCAAGAAGCTGCTAGTAACACCCATCCCTTCTTGGAGCACCATTTATTCATTAATCCAGCCCTGGCCCTTAAACCCTTTAAATTTTAAACCCTATACCTTCCCAACCCATATACAAGACATTCGGGAGCCTTAAACCACCACGACCTCCGACTCTCTTTCTGCTGAGCGGAGTAGAACTGAGCGTTTTAAGCTTGGCCGAAGCGCCACCGCGACCTTGATTTTTTGTTTTGGCTGGTGCCACCAGCCATTTTGCTCCTGTGGCACCCGCCATCTGAAGAATGCCGTATTATTGGTTATATTCACGACTTACTACTTAGCTTCTTTCACTCTGAAAGGTAGTGGTGGTGGTAATATTCACGACTTGCTACTTAGCCTCTTTCACTCTGAAAGGTAGTGGTGGTTTAACACTGACAGAAATATTACTATATTACTATATTAAACTGAAATTTTGTGGTAACTTGGCTTTGGAGTCTGGACCCATCCATACACTGTGTGTTTTTTTCAAACAGAAAAAGGTTACGCCCCAACGAAGGACTCAACCCCTCCCTCCCTTTTCTCCTCTCTATCTTACGTCACCTCTCTCTCTCTCTCTCTCTCTCTCTCTCTCTCTCTCTCTCTCTCTCTCTCTCTCTCTCTCTCTCTCTCTCTCTCTCTCTCTCT